CATGGCTCGCTGGTTGCCGACGCCTAAGGCGCGGAACAGGATCGTGGTTAGTAGTTGGAAGTTGGGAAGGTCAAATCCCACCGACTGTGCCTCAAGTCGGGCCATTTCGAATCGGGTAAGGGTGACATCGATTCGTTCTCCGTGAGGCACGTGAAAGTCAATGAGCTGTGTGCCGGAAGTGAGCTGGCCCTCATCTTCCAGGCGTTCGAACTTCATGCTTAGGAGGAACATGATGTAGGTCACTGGGTCGGTGTGGACCCCATCGATGTCAGCGCCATAATTTATAATGTCAGGCGGTGCCCTCAGGCCGCGTTGTATGGCGGCCGCTTGGGCCTGTGGCGTCATACGTCCGCTTGTGACGTTGAGCCACGCGTTGACCTCATAAACGTACTCGCGGAAAGGTACGTTGCCTTGAGGGTCCCAGTATGGGCCATGTGTTTGCCAATCGGTGCTGTTGTCTCCACGACGCATGTGTCCGATTGCTGCCCCCAGCGCGAACCATATGATAGCGAAGATAACCAGCCCAAGGCTGTATAGATAGGGGTGGTTATTAGGCGCGTTGCCGAGCTGGGGTAGCGCTTTGTTGAGTGTTCGAGGCGCTCTATCTGGCGGATCTCCTCGCCCATGCTTCAAGTACTGCGCTTTTGGCTCGTTGCCGAGCGGTTGGTAGTAGCGCAATGATGAAGCATATATGGTACCAATGTTGTTGTCTAGACGTCGTACCTCTCGTGTCGCTTCCTGCTCTTGTATAGATCCTCGTAAACGTACTGGGAGTGGTAGACCAGGGTGGTAGGTGGTCACGAGGATCGCGCCGAAGAGTATGAGGATGAGAAGAGCAAGAGCTGACCACACGAGGGCGCGGCCAGCTCCGCTACCAAGTCGAAAGTGAGCCTGGTAATTCAAATAGCATCCGATTCCATGGGAAGCGGATGGCAAATAGCGTCCGGTATCGTACTGAGGTGGTTCAGTAAGAGGAATGGACGGATAGGATAGGATAAGATCGATGTAATGATCTTTCCAGCACATAGCGAACACAAGCAGTGTCCGGGCAAATAGGGCGCGCGTGCCTTGAGCCAAAGGCAACGGCACGCGGGCTATGCTCCCGATACTGTAACATCTCCCAAGGAGCTACCCTTAAAGTCGCTACCCCCCTTTATGCCTCCCACCTGGCCACGGCATCCCCAGGCCTCTGGGCTCTGTTCTTGAGACCCCCGCCCCCACGATTTCTCGCCCAAAATCGACCGATACCCCCCTCCATGCCCCCCACCTGGCCACGGCATCCCCGCGCCTCTGGGCTCTGTTCTTGGGACCCCCGACCTCAAAATTTCTCGCCCAAAATCGACCGATACCCCCCTCCATGCCCCCCACCTGGCCACGGCATCCCCAGGCCTCTGGGCTCTGTTCTTGGGACCCCCGACCCTGCGATTTTTCGCCCAAAATCGACCGATACCCGCCTCCATGCCCCCCACCTGGCCACGGCATCCCCAGGCATTGGACTCTGTTCTTGATACCCCCGCCCCCGCGATTTCTCGCCCAAAATCGACCGATACTTCCTCCGTGCCCCCCAGGGAATCTGTTCTTCCCCGATGCTGCCACCACGCTCTGGCACCTCCACTCCACGAGAGGTCAGTCATTGGACCCCCCACAAGACAATGCGCCGACCCCAGAAGGCGTGTGATATCAAATTGTCACCACGCCTCGACCACACCCCCCACCACGCCCCGGCACCCACCCACCCCATGGAGCCTCTGTTTTTCTGCCCCCCACCCTACCATTTCGCGCTCAAAACTTACAGGGACCCCCCACCATGCCTCGACCCACACACCCCAAAAGTCCCCAGGCCTCTGGGCTCTGTTCTTGGGACCCCCGACCCCACGATTTCTTCCCCCAAATCGACCGATACCCCCCTCCATGCCCCCGACCTGACCACGGCATCCCCAGGCCTCGGGGCTCTGTTCTTGAAACCCTCGACCCCACGATTTCTCACCCAAAATCGACCGATACCCCCCTCCATGCCCCCCACCTGGCCACGGCATCCCCAGGCCTCCGGGCTCTGTTCTTGGGAGGCCCGACCCCGCGATTTCTCGCCCCAAATCGGCCGTTACCCCCCTCCATGCCCCCCACCTGGCCACGGCATCTCCAGGCCTCTGGGCTCTGTTCTTGAGACCCCCGACCCCAGGATTTCTTCCCCGAAATCGACCGATACCCCCCTCCATGCACCCGACCTGGCCACGGCATCTCCAGGCCTCTGGGCTCTGGTCTTGGGACCCCCGACCCCGCGATTTCTCGCCCAAAATCGACCGAAACACTCCTCCATGCCCCCCGCCTGGCCACGGCATCCCCAAGCCTCTGGGCTCTGTTCTTGGGACCCCCGACCCCGCGATTTCACGCCCCAGCCGTGACACTCCAACCACCTGCTTTCCAGGGCCCCGGATGTATGAAATGACAAACCAAGTGGTTCTATGCGAAACCACCTGCTTTATCATGCATCCAGACGCATAGCACCGAGAAGCGCGCGTTGGCGCGACGGACGCGCACCCGCCCGCATCTGTAGCATTTGTCGCTCCATTCGGTTTCTTTGTGTGTTAGCGCGTTAATGTTCGGTTGTTCGTGTCGTTCGTAGTTGTTTTCTGATTTTTCTGTTGGTGATTGCGGTTGTCGTTGAGGTGTTCAGTGTTGTTGCTGCGTGTGCGTGCGTGCGTGTGCGTGCGTGCGTGCGTGTGCGTGTGTCTTTGAGTGTGCGTGTGTGCTTGTTGTTGTTGTTGTTGTTGTTGTTGTTGTTGTTGTTGTTGTTGTTGTTGTTGTGTTGTTGTTCTTGTTGCTGGTTGTTGTTGCTGTTGTTGGTGGTGGCGGTGTGCGTGTGTGTGCGCGCGTGTGTGCGTGCTCGTGCGGGTCGCCCCTCCATGTCCGCCGACGAAGAAGCTCGCGTGCGCCCGCATAAGTGTGCGCGTGTGCGCGTTCGATATCCCCTGCAACGCCATAGGCGCTGGAACCCCATAGGCCCTGGAAGCCCGTAGGCCCCGGAAGCCCATAGGCTATGCGACCTGTAAGCCTTGGAACCTCATAGGCCTTGGACGCCCATCGGCTTTTGAACCCCATAGGCCGTGGACCTCATAGGCGCTGGAATCCCATAGGCCTTGGAAGCCCGTAGGCCTGCAGATGGGAAGCCCATAGACGACCTAGAGGAACCCCATTAACCCTGGACCCTCAAAGGCCCTGGAAGCCTATAGGCCTTTGAACCCCATAGGCCGTGGACCTTCATATGGCCGTTGGAGCCCCATAAGCCCATGAGCCCCGGATGCCCATAGGCCCCCTAAGCCCTGGAACCCCACAAGCCTTCTTTGAACCCCATAAGCCGTGGGCCCGTGTGGACCCCCACAGGCCGCTGGAACCCGATAGGACCTGGGAGCCCATAGGCCATGGGACCGTGGGCCCTGGAAGGAGTGGAGGGGGAGGAGGGGGGAGGAGGAGGGGGAGGGGTAGGAGGGGGAGGAGGAGGAGGAGACAGGGGCCAGAAGAGCCCTCCTCCGCCTATGGGGCCACGGAACGCGTCTGGCAGCGGGTCGGGCGGGCGGGTCTGGCGTGTCCTGGTTGCGTTCCTCGTGCACGAACGTCGCGAACGGCGCCACCTGGCGCAGACAGGGGGGGCAGCAGGAGAACGGGAAGGAAGTAGGAGGAGGCGACGTTTGGGGGGGTGAGAGACGAGGGCGGAGTGATGCAGGAGGGGGAGGAGGAAGAGAGGGGCAGGCAGAGTGAGAGGAGGAGGAGGAGGAGGAGGAGGAGGAGGAGGAGATCCGAACGCATCCGAACACGTGAGTTGTCTTCGTCGCAGTCGTCGTGAAGGGAGGGCCGAACGAACCGATCTCGCGTCACTGCGGCTGCGCCGCCTCGCGAAGATAGGGGGCCCTAAACGCAGTCCTTACAGCGCTCATTAGCAGGAGAGTTAGGAAGGATAGTTCAGAAAAAGACGACGAGGATGAAACATGATGAGATAAGATGGGAGATGGGGGCGGGCTGAAAAAAACACATGTTGCGGGATGGGCCGAAGGCCGCCCGTTGATAATTAGCCCCCCCCTAGGCGGCTGGCCGGGACTCCTGATGGGGGGTCTGCCCCCCCCTCGCTCCCTCGGGCGGCGCCGAGGACCTCGGGCGTTCTGGCCCGCGCGCGCACGCGAAAGGGGAGGAGGGGGGAGGAGGGGGAGAGGAAGGGGGAAGAGGAAGGAGGAGGAGGAGGAGCAGCAGGAGGAGGAGGAGAAGGAAGAGGATGAGGAGGAGCAGCAGGAGTAGGAGGAGGAGGAAGAGGAGGAGGAGGAAGAGGGAGGAGGAGGGAGGAGGACGTGCACGCGCGGACCAAAACGACCGACGGCCTCGGCGCCGTCTATGTCGCCGCGGCCCGGACTCAGGACGCCTGGGGCGCGGCCAGCGGCGCCCTCTCCCTTTCCTCCTCCCTTTGTCCCCCCTCCCCCCTCCTCCTCCACCGCCTCCTTCTTCTTTCTCTTTCCCTCCCCTCCCGCGCCTTCCCCTCGTCTTCCTTTCTTTCCTCCTTGTCCTCCTCTTCCTCCTCTTCCTCCTCCTCCACCTCCTGATCCGCGTGCGCCCCCCCCTCCCCCCATTTCGGCACGGGGCGCGAAAGTAGGTCTAGGTCACCCCCAGGGGCGCGAAAATAGAGCCTCGGCCTATAGTCACCCCCAAGGGCGCGAAGATAATCGCGCATCGCACGTCGCGGCCTGGGCCGCAAAGGTTGCTTGCTCAGTTGAGCCGCCTGGGTGGCGAAGATAATCGCGGGGTGGGTCTGGCTCAGCTGGGCCGCCTCGCAGGGTGCCCATTAGGGGCGGGCGCGAGGGCGCGAAGATATCCGCGCGTTTGGGCGCGAGTGCACCCTATAGAGGCGGGCGCGAGGGCGCGAAGACCGTGCATAGCACGTCTGGCTCGAGCGATTTCGTCTGATCGCTGGAGCGCGCGCGTCCCTGGGGCGGCTGGTCGGCGCGCACTCGATCGGCATGGCGTCGGGTGCTTCCGGCGACGCCAGCTCGAGCAAGTCCACGCCGCAGAAGGTGTCGGTGGCGGAGTCTTGGAAGAGCCCGCGCAAGGGGGGGAAGTCGTGGTGGGGCAAGAGTCTCGTGGACATGGTGGCCGTCCACATCTGGGATAGCATGCCCCCAGCGGTTCACAACCTCATCGAGAGCGACGGCTGGAAGGGCGGCGACGTGGTGATCCTGAAGGACAAGGTCAATTGGAGCGTCAAGGCGGCGGACGTGCACACCAATTTCCTCCTGCTGCAGCAGTTGATGAAGCACTTCCCCGGCCACGTCCCGTCCTCGTTCATGCTCGGCGACGTCTTCGTTGCGCTCCACGAGCACAGCGGGAACAACTTGTTCGGCAAGGGCACATGCCCCGACATGGTGAAGAGGGCGGCCACGCAGGAAGGCGTCAAAGCTAAGAGACTCGTTGGCTACTTGAGGCAGTTGGCGAAGGACTCGGACCGCTCCTACAACCCTCGGATCGACAAGCTGAAGGCGATGGTAGAGTTTCCCAAACGGCTGCAGGACGAGCGCCCGGAGGAGAGCGCCTCGCAGAGCGGCTTCAGGACCCCGCAGGCTCGCAAGCCGCGCGGCGCCAAGTCCGACGAGGCTGGCGGCGCGGATTCGGCGCTCGAGGAGGGGGGCGATGCGGAGGTGGAAGAGGGCGACGGCGAGGACCACTGGGAACCACAGGAGCGGCCCCTGGAGGACGACTGGGAGGTGCCCGGCGACTCGGCCGACGAGGGGTCCTGGCAGGAAGGCGACGAGCTTTGGGAGGGCGCCGAGGAGGGCGACGAGCCCAAGGGCGACGAGCCCAAGGGCGACGAGCCCAAGGGCGACGAGCCCAAGGGCGACGCCGAGCTCGAGGACGACGAGCCCGAGGACGACGACGAGCCCGAGGACGACGACGAGACCATGGGCGGCGACGGCGGGGAGCCGAGCGTCGAGGGCTACGACGGCGAGGGCGACAAGGAGGAGCGCGACGAGGAGTGCGACGAGGAGTGCGACGAGGAGTGCGACGAGGAGTACGACGAGGAGTACGACGAGGAGGAGCACGACGAGGCGGAGAGCAACTACGACGCTGGCAAAGGGAACCTCGGCGGGAAAATGGCACCGCTGGGGAGGCACGCCCGCGACGAGGAGGGCGAGGGCGAAGAGGACGACGGCGCCGGCAAGTGGGACGAGTGCGGCGGCGGCATGGAGGTCGAGAGCGAGCAGCCCGACGATGAGCAGGATGGGAGCCCTTGAAACTCCTCACTCCTACTCCTCACTCCTACTCCTCACTCCTACTCCTCACTCCTACTCCTCACTCCTACCCCTCCCCCCTCCCTCGTCGCCCTCACCGCTCTCCAGATCCCAGTCGAGGATCACCAGCCCGAGTTCGACGGCGGCGAGACGATCATCGATAAGCGAACTGGCGACTATTTTGACGAGGAGCCCTCGTCGCACCTCCTCCCCATTTCTCAACCTCGTCCTTCTACCTCATATTAGACCTCGTCCCTCGACCTCCTACTCCACTTCGCCCCTCGACCTCGCCCCGCAACCTCCTTCTCCACCTCGCCCCTCAACCTCGCCCCTCAACCCCCCTCTCTATCTGCCCGCGTGGCGCAGTGGATGGCTCTGGCGACGCCGCTCACGCCATCTGCCCGTTCTCCTTTCTCTCACTCTTCCTCCTTTTTTTCCCTCGCCGTCTCCTCCTCCTCCTCCTCCCTTCTCCTCTGCTCACATGTTTTTTTCACCGTATCCTTCCTTATGCGCTTCTTTTATTTGTTTGTCTAGTTTTGCTTTTTATTATTGCGCTCGAATCCTCTTCCTTCTCCTCCTCATCATCCTCCTTCCTCCTCTTCCTCCTCCTCCTCCTTCCTCTTCCCCCCCCTCCTCCTTCTCCTCCTTCCTCCTCCTCCTGCTCCTCGTCCCCCTGGCCCTCCAGGAGCTCGCTGACTGCGACGAGAAGTGGATCAACGACATGTACGCGCAGGCCCGCAGCAAGAAGGCGCGCGTCGAGGGCGCGTCGAGCCCGCCGTCGCGGGCCCCGGAAGAAGAGGGGGGGCGACGACGACGACGACGACGACGACGACGACGACGAGACGACGACGACGACGACGACGACGACCACGCGACGACGACGACGACGGCGGCGACGGCGACGACGACGACGACGACGACGACGACGACCAATTGACCGACCGACCGACCGACCGCCCCACCGATCGACCGACAGACCGACCGACCGACGAAGACGACGACGACGACGACGACGCGACGACGAGGACGACGACGACCACGCGACGACGACGACGGCGGCGACGGCGACGGCGACGACGACGATGACGACAACGACGACCAATCGACCGACCGACCGACCGCCCCACCGATCGACCGACAGACCGACCGACCGACGAAGACGACGACGACGACGACGACGACGACGGACGAGGGCCCCCATCTTCTTCCGGGGCCCGCGACGGCGCGCGCGACGTGGCTTCGGGGCAAGGCCGATGGCGCATCGTCTTCCGCGGATGGCACCTTCGCCGGGGCCCTGGCGGCTGGCGACGAGGTCGGCGGGGACGAGAGCGAGGAGGGGGAGGGCGAGGACTTCGCCAAGAAAGCTGCTGACACACGGCGTGCAATGAAGTGCCCAGCCCCTCGGAAGGCCCCCGCCCCCGGCCAGGCGGGCCCCGCGCCCATCGTGAACCCCATGAAGCACGCGAAGTTGGCGAGGCAGGAAGACGACGGCTCCAACGCCGCCACGGGCAAGGGCTCCAAGATGGGCAAGGGCTCCAAGACGGGCAAGGGCTCCGACCCCGCCACGGGCAAGGGCTCCAAGACGGGCAAGGGCTCCCAGACGGGCAAGGGCTCCAAGGTGGGCCCCAAGGCGGGCAAGGGCTCCAAGGTGGGCAAGGGCCCCGTGACGGGCAAGGGCTCCATGACGGGCATCGGCTTCAAGGTGGGCGAGGGCTCCGACGCCGTCGAGGGCGAGGGCTCCAAGGCGGGCAAGGGCTCCAAGTTGGGCGAGGGCTCCAAGGTGGGCGAGGGCTCCAAGACGGGCAAGGACTCCCACGCGAGCAAGGGCTCCATGACGGGCAAGGGCTCCAAGACGGGCAAGGGCCCCGTGACGGGCAAGAGCTCCAAGACGGGCAAGGGCTACGACGCCGCACGGGCTCCAAGACTGGCAAGGGCTCCATGACGGGCAAGGGCTCCAAGACTGGCAAAAGCTCCGACGCCGCCGCGGGCTCCAAGACGGGCAAGAGCGTGCTGAAGAGGGCAGCGTCCGCTGCGCTGGTGGAGTGGCCGCCGGCCAAGGTCGCAGCCAAGGGCGCGGCCAAGAGTGTCACAGACAAGGACCACGCCATCATCGAGCTCCTGAAGTCCCTGTCGGTCCCTGCCGAGGCGTACCCGCAGGTGCCACTCATAGGCAACAAGAGCTACACGATCAAGAGCAGGAACGGCGTCGCGGTCGAGGTGTTGTTCACCTGCAGCGCCTACTACGTCAAGAAGTACGCGGACGGATACGAGGCGCTGCCGTCGCCGCGGGCGGGGTGGACCAAGCACGGGGGAGCTGTGGCAGCCTGGAAGTTCGTGAAGCAGAGGACTGGCTGGACGCGCGGCGTGTAGACGCGCGCAGCCAGACGTGCGCAATCTTCAGCCTATGGTGGCTGGCCTGGGCCGTGCAGGAGGCCTCGGGGCCGCTGCGCGCGCAGCGGCGAGGCATAGGATTGCTGTGCAATCGTGGGGCCGCCTCGCCCTGCTCGAACTACAACTGCTGCAGCAGTCTGCTCGCAGCGTCGTTCTGGACATCCTCCCACTTGACCTCCTCGGTCCTCCTGCGTCGTCGTCGTCGTCGTCGGTCGTCATCTTCGTCGTCGTCGTCGTCGTCGGCGTCGTCAGCGCAGTTGCCATTCCGGCACTGCTGCTCGTCGTCGTCGTCGTCGTCGTCGTCGTCGTCGTAATCGTTGTCGTCGTCGTCGTCGTCGTCGTTCGTCGTCGTCATCGTCGTCGTCGTCGTCGTCGTCGTCGACGTCGTCGTCGTCGTCGTAGTCGTTGTTGTCGTCGTCGTCGTCGTCGTCGTCGTTCGTCGTCGTCGTCGTCGTCGTCGTACTCGTAGTCGTAGTCGTCGTCGTAGTCGTACTCGTAGTCGTCGTCGTCGTCGCCGCCGCCGTCGTCGTCGTCGTCGTCGTCGTCGTCATCGTCGTCGTCATCGTCGTCGTCTTCGTCCGTCGGTCGGGCGGTCGGGCGGTCGGTCGGTCGGTCGATTGGTCGTCGTCGTCGTCGTCGTCGTCGTCGTGGTCGTCGTCGTCGTCGTCGTCGCCGGGCGTCGCCGTCGTCGTCGTCGTCGTCGTCATCGTCGTCGTCGTCGTCGTCGTCGTTCGTGTTCGTCGTCGTCGTCGTCGTCGTCGTCGACGTCGCCGTCGTCGTCGTCGTCGTCATCGTCGTCGCCCAGTGTCGTCGTCGTCGACGTCGTCGTCGTCGTCGTCGGCGTCGATGCCCCAAGAGGGCAGAGGAGGCTGGCCCCCCGAACCGCCGCG